TCTGTACCTAATAGGTGCTATGGTATAATCCATACAATACAGTTAAAGAGATTTTAATTGTACAGAAATGCAATTACCTGGAATTGTTTGTGGGATCGTAGTAATTGGCGTTCCATAGTCTCATGCAACATGTATGGATGTTTGTGGGATTTCAAAAATTCGGCTGTTGAAGCGTAGAGAGTTAATACTTATACTTAGGACCAGCACATAGTAGGACACAAAGAACAAGGAATTCTTTTTCTGTTTTAGGATCCTTGTAAAATATCTAGTTAATAGTAAATACCTAATAGTCACGACACATACAAGACACCTAAACGACAAAGTGCTTTACTACTGCAGACCACGTTGTATTACAAAAGAAAATCAACTTGACATATATTAACAGTATCATTAAATGCATGACCAATGCTATTATTGTCAGCATAATGTGGTTAGTAATTGAATGATTATTTTAATTCTCCATTACGAGAACATTAACTCAGTATGCGGCCGGTACATCTTGACCTGACGATCAGTTGTTCATGATCATGTTAAACCAGTTAATGCAATGACAACTTAATGTTTGCATAACATATTATTATACCGGTTATATGTAGAGAGACTTGGTAGAGCACGTAGCTGAGGGTTTCATTGTGCTGTATGGCAGTGTGCTCTTAGATCATTCTGGCTAGTTCTTTGCGGTTTCATCCGCTCTGCTTGGCGCCTATCGATCGTAGCATAATGTTTAGCCTTCCTTAATATATGGACTAACCAACACCACAAGAATTTTTCAAAATGGATTAGTAGTACCTGAGATTAGCACGTTCAAAGAAACAAACAAATTGTTCAGCTTTATATAATAGTATAAACTGTATAAGATTATTTCAGTTCACGTGCTAATTTCTAAGTGGAAAGTCTTTTCCTAAGCCATCATATCAAAATTATATGGATTGTTTGTTTGGACCTAGCCATCATCATCAGCCTTTTTAGTTCTGATAGCATTGCATATTGAATTATTTTCTAGATATACTAAGTAAACAAAGGATATCTAGAAACACAATTACTGGCTAGTAATTTAATTCTAGATATCCTTTAGCTGAGCGAAACCAGATACCAGCAGATTTAATGTCAGAGTTAGAATACAAAACAACTAATCTGAACTGCACCTGGAAGTCCTAATCCCACTAAAAATGTGTATTTCCTTTTTAAACAAAGCCGGTATCAGTTTACATCGAGCAATTTACCAACTTTGCGGTCAATGTTAGGACGGGAAACTAATCAAAGAATCCGGCGTTTAGTCGACTATTAGCGAAATTACATTCATCATAAACGTTTTATTACATTTTAATGGTAGATTATTTCCGTAGTGAATTTAAACATAATTGCATTTCTTTTAGTAGGCGTAACACAAAAGGTAGTTGAGAGAATTATGAGAAAGTAAAGCCGAATACTCAGAATTTAAAATGAGGAGACGTTTTATTAAGACACCTTTTTTTAATGTTTGGTAATTAAAAGTGAGCTTGAATTGGTTCTTCCTTAAATAATTGTACACAGATTTTATAAAAAAAAACTAAGAATGGAGTCTAAACTAAACTATGAATAAAGATAATAAAAATTAATTACCCTAAAGAAAATGTGAAAATGTTTCATATAATTCAATTTCACTTTAATTTACTTTCTTTTCAAGCTTCTCAACAGTGAGTTATACGGTTTAACAAATCAATTTACGATTAGGTACTTGCAAAGTTAATAGTTTCAAGCTGGTATCACAAAAAGCTAATTTTAAATTACCTACAGTGAATAAAAAAGGTAATTACGCATACTAAGTAATATCGCTTTGTTAATGTTTTATAAACATTGGGCAAATTAACTAAAAATCGCGGGTTACTCACGTGAATAACCCGCGATTTTTGGTTAATTTAGTATGTCTCACGATAGTTATTATAAACACATTGGGCAAATTTTTCACTAAATGTATTTGTGACCAATAGACCGATGACTGGATGAGACATTGTGTCTACAATTCAAGAGTTACGTAACTAAAGCATTAGCTAAAGTTTAAGAGGAACGTCCCTAATATAAAATGTATGTAGGAGCCAACCTTGCAACTACTTAACGGTGCAATTGAAACAGTTATTAAGAGGAAGTTGTTATTGTCCTAACATTCGGAACACCGAACATTTAATATTCCATTTATATGATTAACAGTACATCTAAGATACAATCATGCCCACGTATCGTGCATACAAATCCCGAATTAAACGTATTTTATTACTTTTTAATGGGGCTCTAAGTTTTATTTAAAGATAAGTATGTGTTGTTTACTTCTGACACTTAATTATAGTACTAGAGGCTGTCCGGTCCGGTTGCTAGGACATTCAGAAAGTCTCAGGTCGAGGCTGAATGCCTTACGGTCTAATTGTGTTCTTGGATCCAAGTATTCCAAGTAATAACGACATCAGTTTATGATTAATAGTGTGCATTATGCACAGTTAACTTTAATATCACGGGTATATTACAACGGAAGTATGTATTGAAGGTTAGTAGGACAATTTGTGGGACTTGCACATAATAGTTTGACACTAATCTATGATTGATACTGGCTCATTGGTGTAGCGGTATCGAGATTGTTGAGCACGAGGCTCGGAGTTTAACGACTTTACCTATATTATTGGTTTCTTTAACATCCATAGTGCAGATAAGTAAGAATTACATTAGGTGTTATTGCACTTCAACACATTTCCTCGAGAAAAACAAGTACGGTAACGTTATGTAGATAGACGTACCTACTAAGTGCTAATGTATTACAACACTTACTTCAACGACTGATGGCAGCTGTCATGTTTACTTCTATGATTGGCCGGACAAAAAACACGTCACTTGCGTTAAGCACAGATGCATAGCATTAACATTATTAAATGCACACCGACGTTGGGTGTCGCTCCGTCAACCGTTACCTCGGCAGCCCGCGCTAGACTTTCGTAAACCTGCAGTCTGATTGATAAATATATCACGTAAAGTCGGTTTCATCATATTGGCATTCGGTGAACGGCAACACCAATTGTTTTACGCCGTGCATTTGAATGTGTTACCCTTTTTTCGGTGGTATTGTGTTGAACGAACAAGAAACGTATCAATCGACCTTCTAGGCTTTTGTTCCATACAAAGCCATGCGTGATTTATGTCATGAAGGAGATAAATGTCGTCGTTTTACTTTGTTTATGTCACTAATAACCGCTTACGTAACAAGTACGAGTAACGCACAATGCTGGCTGGTGTAACAATGTTGTTCTTAGAGACGTTGTCGCAACCTTAACAAATCTTATTGTTGACAAAAAGCAGCAGTGTGAAAAATAGTCTGTACAGTACCAGTTTCTGGTGAAAATATATTGTAATCCCCAATTGGAGTGTCTTTTCCTTGTTCCTAAATTTAACATTTTAAAACAGTTCCAGAATCTACTACTTAATCGTTTTCTACTTACTACTATTAACTAATCTAAATATCGGTTTACAAATGTAGTTTTTATGGTCTATTAGACTGCGGTTGCTATTAGTTTGCCGTTTATGCCTCATTGCTCTTTTTAAACCTAAATACATACGTAATTGGGTTGGGTAACTTTATCGACGCATGTTATGTTTAGCGGTCTAAGTTCCCGGTTTGCGTAAAACTGCACATGCACATTCGAGTAACTTCGGAGTTAGGTAGGAAACAGAGTGCAGTTTTTCCATTTCGGTAGAGACAAGATTGCAAAAAACATTTACGACGTACAAATATGTGCAAGCAAATTGCAGTCAGTGTTCATTTCTCCCTAAGTAGAAAATAAGGTAAAATGTACTTTCACTATTTTTGGTATCATGGGCTGAAGGAAAACACCCTATCCTATATCCTATAGGGCAGTATGTAAGGCCTCCTATTATAGCTCTATAGTAATTAATCAAGCTCAATTCTAACCAAAACCACCTATAGCCTAATTTTCTTTTATCAATATATCACAGTACTAGTTAACTAGAACGGTGATAATATGTGCTCTCTTCCTCAATTTTAAAATTGCTCTTACTTGTGGAGTGTAATTCACATGTTCAGAATTAATATAATTGGGTTCGGAGATGTCATAGTCATTTATATTCGAGTCCCATGTAATATGTAATTACGGTAAACGGCTACGAGAAGCCGAATGAAACCAGTTGGTGTGCTCTATCGGTGCCGTGGGAGCCCGGCCAATTGTTCTACCTACAATGGTCACGAAAGAAATGGAGGGCAATTGTAAGTTTGTACTTCCAAGTTTCTGTGAAATTCATAATTCGTTCACATTACTTAAAAGTCACGAGCAACTTACCATTTATGATATTATGCTAGCTGTCTAGCACCTTATTTCGCCAGTTAGTCGCAGAGAGGCAAACAAGAATCAGCTAATTCCTAGTTTAATTAAGATTAACATCTAAGTGTACCGGTCCAAGTTACAATTAAATAATTATATAGATATTTGAAGCATGCCAGTGCTAGCTTGAGAAACAAGGTTTGGTATTTGCTATACTTTTTATTTTTAAATGCTAACAGATTTTTTAATTAATGTTAAGAAAGCGCTCGGCGAAAATAACGTTAATCGTATTGGTGTCAATAAATATTTGACTGGTTTGGCACGACTTAAAATTTATTGTTATCGATTTATTAATTATTTTAAAGTTTATATTAAAAAAATAACATAGCATCATTTTTGATAGTAATAGGTATAGGTATTATCTTTATCCTATATGCATAGTTGAGTTAGATAACCGATATTGGTCATATTTAATAGTAATCTGGAACTAAGTAAGACTTAGAGAATACCTAATTGGAACAAGGAGAACAGTAAGTTTTGACTATAACAATTGTAATTATTTGTAGATATACAAGTTACATTCACAAATTTTCTGATGATTTAGTAATTACCACAGCTACACTATACAAACAAATAACATTTTGTAATTATGAAAAATGCAACGACAAATAACTATATAGAAAAATATCAATAAAAACAAACCTTACAGTTAGTCCACCGGTACTGGTGCACCACTAGTAAAATATACAGTGTTTATACGATTGTTCACCCAGGCAACAAGTTAGCCAACTTTCTATCGGCCTATCAATTACACAAACACAATGCTCGCTTTTTTAACTGAGGTTTCACACAAATTTCTTAATGTAATCCTATAATTTCGCTCATAAGTTAGTTGAGCGTGAAGGAAGATACGTGAAGGTGGAGAGGTATGAAACACGCGCGTGTTTTCCCGCGGCGGAGGTTCGACTGCGCGCGCGCCGCTGGAGAAACTCGAGAGAAAAGTAACGTCCCCCTGCGCAGCCGCAACAGCTGTTACATCAATGCTCTTGTCTGGTTTTATTTGCCATCTTATTTTTTGCCAACTAATAAATAAGAGTCATCAAGTTAAACGACCATGCCGTCACTTCCGCTCGTAACTATAACCGTAACAAACAGCAGACGAGAACTGAGACAAGCATCACGTGGTTACCTGATTGCATTGTCTTCAATTGTTTTATTTATTTACATAATTCTGCTACAATGACATTAAAACTATTTGAATCATTCACCTTTTCCTTTTCATTCCAATGTGACTAATTTCGTCTTTTATCTTTGTCAAAATAAATGACAAACAATGAAATGATGAATGAAGACCAGTCTGTCAGGATTACGTATTCATTCTTCGTGAAGCTGTTGTGTGAAAGTTGATTTGTTTATCGTTGAAAAAATTCCTTTAACCTGAAGTCACAATAATTGGCAACTAAGTTAGTAATGTGCACATAGTTATCGGTTTTTAAAACACCTTTAACCTCTGGCCCCTGTATCTCAAAACGTGACAATTTTACGATAAAAAAAATAATTTGGATACTTAAAATAAATTCTATTTATTACGTGATAAGTTTTTTTAATGTGTTTTATTTTTAGGTTAGTCCCCTAGGTTAATTAAAGAAGTAGGTATCTACTTTAAAGAAAAATATACTATGTATTAATATGTATCTAGTAAAAATTATATAAACTTAAACGTAATATGTACATACGTATGTAATTAGCCTGAAAAGTAGGCGCTAATGATTTCCACTTATGTTAATTTTACTTCTGCTTCCGTAAAAATAATTACATAGTCTTTTCACGCCTTTACTAAACATCAGTTCATCGAAAATTTTTGAATCGTATCTAATAAAATAGTGGTTATAAACTCACATTAAACCAACTAAAGTATAGCTACAACTGTATACGTTTGTTGCACTCTCTGCCCTGGTTGCATTGCTTAATTGCAATATAACTATATAGGTTCATACGCCTTACAATCTATTGTGATTGGAATGTAGAATGATTGGAGTACAACCATAGAACAGAAATTATGTTAGAGTAAGTGTTGTTGACCTCCACAGATCATCAATAGCGTTGCATTGATACATAATACATACTGCATTTCGATTTATAAGGCTCCACTTTAAAATACACGAAATGTAATTTTTCCTAGCCTTGATTGATAACTGAACTTAGTAATACAAATAGAGCATAAAGTTATAAAAATATTTATTAAGTACCTACCTAATAAAATTTAATTTTCACTCATAATTCACCGGAAACTTCGTAATAAAATTTGTATAAAATAACGTTCATAGGAAATTCTTAAGCAATTTCAAAAAGGAGGTTCTTAATTTAATGTGATACTTAAGAAGTTTTTCTTGCTGAGATGTTTATGTTCAGAGATGTTAATTTTTGGATTACAAATTGGTTATTTTGATGATGGGATCCCAGAGACATTGAGGGCAACCCCACAAATAATGGGCACTTAATTACGATTGTGACAATTACTGAAGTTATTCAAATATTTGCGTCTGTTAATGATCACCTCAATAGAGTTGGTACTTGTGTACATTAGATTTTTTTTTTAGAATTGGGACAAATAAGTAGACTTATCAACTGATAACCGGTTATCTAAATGGTAAGCGATCGGCGCTGCTCTCGGGCACCTTTAAGGCTTCGAGACCTAACGGGTAACCGGGGCTCCGGCTCGACGTGCAGGAGAAGGAACGGAGTGGTTTTTAGTCAGTAAGAGTCTGACACTCCCTCCCGCCTCACCCAGGCGGGAGCAGTCATTCGATGATTTTCCCCCTTAAAAAAAAGGCTTCGAGATCTGAGGAGACCGCATCAAGTTCGTTGCCTTTCTTGAAGGTTTGAAGGTCACCAAAAATACCGGCAGCAACAGTTCATTCCATATTAAATAATTATAGTTATTTTTGCCTTTTTATACTGGTTTTATTACGTTGGAACGCGATTTAATTACAGTGAATGCTTGGCAATACATTAAGTATTACTAAAAGACATTTAAACAGACAATATATTATTCCACTGACGAAATTATGAAACAAAAGTTAGGCGAGTGTTATATGACTCTTTTCCATTAAACTGTTCGTCGACTGACCAATTTATTTTAGCATTTGTTAAAAAGATAAATGATATTGTTGGTCAGTTAAAGTTACATAACTATTCGTTCTGCAGTTTTGTTTTCGTAAAAAGAGGAAATCGAAGTTAGTATTTTTGTTTCATAAGAAATCTTGTTAGCTGCTACTGCTGAAGAAGGAAACAGTAGCAAGTACTTACATTGTTTCTAGCGCGTCACTGGTCTGATCAATCAATTCCCCTAAACAGCATTAATTATACACCCGACACTGGCAGTTTAGTCGAGATCATTATAGACTAGGTTGCCATTCAAGAAGAAACATAAAACATTAATTATGGGAACATTATAGCCTATTGCCTGATGTTGTCTACCAATTTGAAAAATAATTAATTTTAATGCGGGACAAACGTAACAAAAAACCTTTTTCATAATAATCATCATGAAAAATATTAAAAACATATTCAATTTACATTATATCATTATGCTGTTCATGATACCTAATGTGAAAATTAATTAGTTTAAGTTTAAGCACAAGTGTTTAAACCACGGAATATCTGTATTCTATATTCCGTGGTTTAAACAAATGCCTAATTTTGTAGTCCTATGTTTATGCTGCTTTTCTAGCAAGCTCTGAAATTGTATCCACCAGGAAGTAGGTAAATAACAGGCTATTTACAAAGTAGTTTCCAAGCACTTGATTACTCACAATCCGAGCATAACCGATACATGAATGCATATAGTTTAATGACTGTTAATATTATGTGCCTTTTACCTAAGCAGTTTCAAGTTGCAGCAACTCGGCGCAGGCGCAGGCTGCATCGTTACGTAACCACTTTCACCCGACCCTGCGAGCTGCGAGCACTAACTACACGCAAACAAGCCGCCATGCAAACGTCGGCGTCGTGACGCACACGTTACGTTATACCCCTTGTTAGTCACTAGTTCAAACTTGTGACTTTGTTTGCCTTCATTTCAGATTTTGTTCAAAGACGCTGTGTTGGGCTTTGATGCTGATTATTCTGGCGAAACAAGTTCTGTCCTGTTGTCCAGAAAATGCATGTACATGTATTTAAGGCTATGTACTCCCCAGCAGTAGACTTAGGCATTAGGCGAGGCAGGTAGGCAGACGTGATTATTAAAGATTTTAAAGTCCCACGTGCCCAATAGAGGGCTACTGCCATATGTTTAACTCTATTCCAGATACTGTCTTATTTTTGAGAATATCGAATATCTAATATCGAAAATGCTACTTGTGCATGAGCAAACAAACAAACAAATAAAGTTTGCTATTAGTATTGAATCACGCATTATTGATTGAGTACCGATTGTGTGAGCGCCTGGAATGGTGAAGAAAGTTAGGTTACGTTGTATGATAAGTTATGTGTGTAAGTAACACTATTACAATCTGATAGTGACGAAACTAGGCAACCGGCTCATTTTAAGTGCATTCAAGCATCTAGACTTGAAGCATTTTTTATAAGGTCCAATTAAAATTGGTACGTTACGGTAGGCTAAGTACTTCTTTGTTTTTGAGGGGGGAAAATCATCCAATGACTTCTCCCGCCTGGGTGAGGCGGGAGGAAGTTGGAGTGTCAGACTCTTACTGACTAAAAACCATCCCGTTCCTACTCTTGCTCTTCGAGCCGGAGCCCCGGCAACCTGTTAGGCCTTCCGTGGCTCCGTATCGGGCATCAGCCCTTCTGGGCCTCCCCAACTGTGGTGGTCTGATGGCTCTTTGAGGCGCGCGCGAAACGCGACGCGCCGTAGCCTAAAGTACTGAATTTTCATTACAAACAATCATGGTTAATTGCTCAATAAAATATACATCACATACAAATTCAACACGCTGTTGACCCAGTTTAGTCTAGCTTCCTTTCCTAGCTTTTATTTTGACATTGATGTTAGTCCAATATTCATATTTAAGAGACGTGTATTAATCTCTTCACTTCTTCAGATTGTGCGTTCGGTTTGTGGTTAGGCAGTTACCACTTCTTTCACTGAGCCTGACCCTCTCCGGAACTGAGACCTTTTGGCATTTTGATTGCTTAGTAAAATCTAATGGAACTACTAAGTACCTATAAGTAGTTGCTTAAGTCTTTAATATTTAGGGATTTAAGTACATCTTTCATAAAGCCCGAAAGGGGAACCAGAAGAGCACATTACTAATGTAACAATAACTTTTCAAAAGTATTGTTATTTATTTTATTTTTATACTGAGCAAAATCTCAATAATCGTTACCATGCCAGGGAAATCACCAGGGACACTGGGATTTGGGACTTCAATATTTGGAAAAACGCCAATTTAAATAATCGGTTCTTCGGTTTATTTCGTTCTTCATCATCATCAACAACCGGAAGACGTCCACTGCTGGTCAAAGACCTCCTCCTTAGTCCTCCACGTCCTGTCTTAGTCGTCACTTTTGGTCTTAAATTTCACTTTTCCATGTTTTAGCTACTATTAACTTGAAGGTAGATAGACTTTTAAAATCGGAAGGAAGTGTAAGGGGACTTGAACCTGAAGTTACAACTGACCTATCACGAACTCGTGGAACGTGCACACTTCGAGAAAGTTCCCGAAACCCGTATATGCTTCAAGAGTCGAATTAGTAACTACTATTAACTCGTCGAGTACCGGTTTTGCAGACACAATTATAGAACAATAGGTTGCGGTCACCGGTGACCGCTTGGTGTTTGACAGTTTAATATGGATTCATTCACAATTTAAAAAAGATGGATTGAGAGATTTTTGTCTCAGTATATTTATTGGGTAAGCCACGGGTAAGCTATGTATTCAAATCATGGTGTCATCAGTACCTACAGAAGTAGCCTCCACTTAAGTAGAGGAAAACAAATAGGTAGGTTGATAAAAAGATGCGA